GCTAGAAACTTCTTCAGCTTTGTCAATTCTTCATTGTGATCACCGGTAAGAATGATGTCATCAACATACACAATAAGTACAACAATCTTCTTCTCGGATCTTTTTGTGAACATTGTATGATCAACCTGGCTTTGAGTATAACCGCACTTGATTACTGAATTGGTGAATCGGGCAAACCAAGCACGGGGAGATTGTTTGAGACCATACAGAGATTTTTGGAGCTTGCATACTTTGCCACTAGGCAAGGACCCTTCAAGACCAGACGATAAATCCATGTATACATTCTTTTCAACATCTCCATTAAAGAATGCATTTTTGACATCAAGTTGCATAAGGGGCCAGTCTCGGTTTGCTGCAATGGAGAGTAGGATTCTAATGGAGTTCAGTTTGGCTACTGGGGCAAATGTCTCGTAGTAGTCAATTCTGTATGACTGAGTATAACCTTTCGCAACCAGCCAGACTTTTAACTGATCTATGCTTTCGTCTGTCTTACATTTGATTGTAAATAACCACCTGCATCCTACTGGTCTTGTATCCTTGGAGGAGGCTTGATTGTAAATAACCACCTGCATCCTACACAGTCCACGTTCCACTCTTTTCTAGTGCAGCAACTTCGTCATTCACAGCTTCTCTCCATTTCGGGCGTGAGAGAGCTTCCTGAATAGAATTCAGAACATTTATGCTGTCAATAGCAGTTACAAATGCATGATAGGGAGGAGATATCCTCTCATATGAAACAAATCTGGCAATAGGATGTTGAGTGCAAGGAACATCAGAATCATCTTTCACAGCCGGGGTAAGCTCATATTCACTTGTGTCTATAGATTCCGTACCTGAGTGAGTTTCAGAGGATTTTGGAGTCGGATTATATTCATGGACAGCAGTTGGAAGCGGTGTTAGGTTTTCTATTCTTTCAGCAGTTCTGTTTCGTCTTGTATAGACCTGAAGTTCCTAAGGAGTGGGTTGTGTAGAATGAGGAGGTTGAATAGGAGAAGGTGTGGGTTGTGTAGACTGAAGAGGTTGAATAGGAGGTGGAGGAGGCTTGACAGTCGGTGAGGGACCCGTGTCAGTTGGTAAAGGAACACAGAGCTGTTGTTCACTACGACTACTCTCCCCCTGAATGACAGACCTTTGGTAGTATAATTGATTCTAAAAAAATGTGACATCCATAGAATTATAAATTTTTTTAGTTGAAGGACAATAACATTTGTAGCATTTATTGTTGGTCGAATACCCTATGAATGTGCATTTGACAGATTTGGGGTCTAATTTTCTGCGGTGTTGTTTGTGAATATGAACAAAAACGGAGCAACCAAATAGTTTGGTAGGGACAACTGAAGAGAGTGTACAAGTATTAAGAAAGAAGCGAAGGAGGACATCAATTGGACTACGGAAACCCAAAATACAAGAGGACATCTGATTTATGAGGTAGGCAGTGGTCAATGTTGTCTCGCCCCAATAACATTTTGGGACCATTGTGATGTGGTGCACCTCAGACTTGTCTTCTAGAAGCTTTCCAGTATGAAAATATTCTACGATTTTTTCGCTCGGCAACCCCATTTTGTTGAGTATCAACACACGTGCTAAGGTGAAGGATGTCATGTTGAGTAAGAAAAGTTCCTAGGGAGGTGTTGAAAAACTCTCGTGCATTATCTGTTTTGAGGGCCTAGATTTTTGTGTCAAATTGAGTGAGTATCATTTGATAGAATGCACGAAATATTAGTCCTACCTCGGATTTGTCACGCATATCCATGTTACCCGTGTGTGATCATCAATAAAGGATACGAACCATTGGGCCCCAACAATATTTTTTTCACGAGAAGGACCCCAGACGTCAGGATCAGAGAAAAGGGACAAGTGAGTTTGTATGATAATCGAGGAAATGAAGTACGAGTGTGTTTGGTAAGTTGACAAAATTCGCAATTAAAAGAGGTAGGACTTTTATTAATAAATAAATGAGGAAACAGTTTCTCTAGGTACATAAAGTTGGGATGACCTCAACGATAATGAAGTAGCATGATTTCACTATCATTATTAACGCTGGAATGAAATACAGATGTACTAAACGGATTTAAGCAAGATAGAATTGATACTAGAATACAACCGGTGGGTGAGACTAGACTGACAGACGGTTTGTTGAGGAGATAGAGACCACTGCGCAACTCAGCACTGTCAATCATCCTCCCCGACTTCAAATCCTGAAATTCACAAACATATGGAAAAAATTTAGCAACACAATGACAATCATGGGTGAAATTACTAATAGAGATCATATTGCAATCCAAAGTAGGAACATGAAGCACAGAAGTGAGGAATAAATCCGGAGAGATGAGGACAAAACCAAGACCAATAATTTTGGAGGCTGATCCATCAGCAATCCGAATAGTGAGGGTCGGGGTCGGATTACACGGCCGGTAATCCATTAATAAGGAGACATCCCCGGTCATATGATCGGAGGCACCTCAGTCAACAATCCAGGGGCGAGAAGAAGTTGAATCCAAGACGAAAGCGGATGGGCAAATACCTTGATAGGTAGTAAGGCCGGTGACACCCGATGCCACACTAGTAGACTGGACTTGTGACAACTGACCGAGCATCTTCTGGAGGGCATGAATCTGTTCTTCGCTGAATGGGCTCGTTCCTGGAGAGGCTTCGGTGGTGCTGGCAGTTGCCCGATTATCCTGTTTGGGTTTCCCATTGGCGGGTCTGCCATGAATCCGCCAACACGTATTTCGAGTATGACCAGAACGGCGGCAGTGGTCACTCCAAGGGCGGCCCTGGCGTTGGCGGTTGTCTGTTGATGGAATATGAGCAGCAAGTGCAGACCCGTTGAGGGTTGTAGTGGACAAGGAAGCACTTGACATGACCTTTTACCGACTCTCTTCGCGGCGTATATCGAAGAAAGATTCACGAATTGTTGGAAGAGGTTTCAAATTCAAAATTCGTGAGTGAGTCTGGTCAAACTCAGATTTGAGACCAAGAAGGAATTTGAAGGTGCGTTTCTGTTCTATGATTTGGTGAAATATGACAGTCTTCGGGACACTTCCAAGGGTACACCTCGAATAGATCTAGTTGCTGCCAATACCGAGTAAGAGTATTGAAGTATTGGGTGACGGAGAGGTCACCTTGACGAAAGTCATGAAGAATGGTCTCAACAACAAATAGTTCGCTTGTATTGTCCGCACTAGAATAGGTCTCACGGGCAGCATCACAGATTTCCTTAGGCGTGTCATAGAGAAAAAAATTTTCGCCAATATCAAGTGCCGTTGAGTTAACAAGCCAGGCCATAACCATATTATTCTCGGATTTTCAAGTCTTGTATGACGGATCTGTCGTCATCGGAGCTGGAGCATCACCGGTGAGGTAGTCATCTTTGCCTTTGCTGTATACGAACATCATGACTGACTGCGATCATTGGAGGTAATTCTGACCAGTGAGTTTGTGGTTGGTGATAAGGACAAAATTATTGTCTGAATTGTTGGGTAATAGAGAACCAGCCGCGGAGGGGTGGTTAGAAGTGACATCACTAATGGAGGAGTTGCAGGCATGACCGTACTTAGTCATTGAGCACGGTTGGAACTGACTGTGCTCGGTTGCGGAAGAAGGGTTGGCGTTACCGATCGGACGCAGACGATCGCGATCGATGCGGGAGATCGCGGGATTTGCGGGATTGCGGAAGAGCATGGATGCGGGAGATCGCGGGAGAAGCGCACGATGCGGACGATGCGGGAGAAGTGCGGACGATCGCGGGAGAAGCGCGATCGATCGGACGAGGAGCGGCGCTCGGATGCGATCGATCGGGGCAGGCGCAAACAAGGGCGGCGAAGGCCGAACGCGGGAGAGAGGGGCCGTGATCGAGCCAAGCGGGAGAGGCTTTCCTTTGATGGCTTTGATACCATTTGAATTTTGAATAATTCTTTTTCTCACTGAATACATAGATAATTCACCTATAAATAGGCGAGTACAAGAGATAAAAAAGGAGGAAAGAAATCTTCCTACAATTAAGTAATTCCTATAATTATGGAATAAACATAAATACTTATAATTAAGGAATTATCCTTTTTATACTAAGATTAAATATAACAAGTACTAAATAGAATTAAAGTAAATAATAATGAGCGTAATTCCACAGTTCTTGATCACCAGGTGCACAAAACTGTTTTTGTTACTTTGTAACTGATCTCTTTTGGTTTCATCTTGTTCTACAAATTTTCTCGTAAGTTTGGGCCCGATTTGGGATTAATTTTGTTTTTTATTTTCTATATTTTTTAAGACTTGTCTGGGATCATCTTTGTTTTTTTTTCCTTTTATTTTTAAATGTATATATTTTTTGTGTGCTTTTTACCTTTTGTTATTTTGAGAAATTTAGATACATAGCACTCAATTCTTATGCATTTACTTATCTCAAATTGATTTTGATTTTTACATCTAGATCACATTTTCTTATCTATGAAAAGGTGGAAATAGTATAAGGTGGAAATAGTATAATCCACGTAGTATAATCCACGTTTTCATACATAGGTTAGGGTGCTTAGGGTGTAAAAATCAAAGTTTGGGTGTGAGATAAGTAAATGCATAAGAATTGGGTGCTATGTATGTAAATTTCCGTTTTATTTTTTGTTTTTAAAAAATATTGACATATTTTTGGAAACATTCAAAACAAGTTTTAGGTTTTTTTGTGTTTGGAATCAGTTTTTATTTTATGTTTTTGTTTTTAAAAAACAAAAAAAAAACAAAAAAAAACAGAAAAATCAGTTTGGTTAGATGTTTTTGATCTTCTTCCTTTTAAACAGATTTGTTTTCATTTTTAAAAGCACAAACAAATAAAAATTGTTTCAAGTGTTTTTAAAACAAAATTTTCATTACTCCTAGTTAGGAGTGTATATGTTTTAGATTTGACTTTTGTTAAAAAGGTAGAGGCAGACCTAAAAAGTCTTGGGTTTAATGTATAAAAAATGATCTTAATTTATTACAATTAAATGAAAATATGTTCAATAGGACACATTGGAGAAAAAGGATTCATATAACCGACCCCACTTTGTGAGATAAATACTTATTATTGTTGTATCGACCCCGACCCCGACCGACCCCGACCCCGACCGACCCCGAACCTGAACCCAGACTCCAATTACTTCTCAGTCACCAACACTTATCCCCCGAAGATTCCTCCAACAACGATGCCTTCTCTTCTCCGGCATTGCGTGTATATTCTTAGTTTTTTCTATCTTCCCTGTTTTCAGCCTTTTACCAAAGTTCTGAAACTTTCTGCACGGCCACCTTCCTGACGACAACTTCGTTGAAGGACTGAAAATCTCCGTTAGGGTAATCTTCAAAATATCCTCATTAAAACAACATTTCTGTCAAAAAGTGACTTTAATATTCTGTTAAATGAATAGTTGAACATAGTCAACTTTTGAGGTTTAATTACTTTCTCAAAGTCCGTATTTTCTTCTGAACGTAATGCCCTAATCATTTGAAATTGGGCTGGAAACTTTATATTTTACATATAAACCACTCAATTCTTATGTATCTACATGTCTAAAACAGAAATTTTATATTTTACATTTATACCATCCATATCTTTCATATCCATAAAAAATACTAACTTTTTAACGTGAAAAAAAAAGTTAAATACACCTTGTGATGCATAGGTAAGGTGGCATGTATGTAAAAATAAAAGTTTAGGTGTTAGATATGTTACATATTTAGTGGTTTGTATGTAAATCTTTCAAATTAATTTGGTTCTCTCATGATTATTTTGAACTGAGCAACATAGAGGTTTTCCTTCTGTGGTAGCAATTTTATGAGTCTTAATCATTATGGAGTTTCTCTATATTACATCAGTTTGAAGCTTGCTACTGCTATAAGTGCTTCATTATTTTATCATTGTTTTTCTGCCACCATCATATGAAATAAGTTTTAGAAGGAAAAGGAAATGCCTCCCTCAGCTTAATTTTCTTGACAAATTAGCTATTAAATTATAGGGGCATTTACATATGTACCACACAATTCTTATGTATTTGCATATCTCACACCTAAATTTTCATATTTACACACATAACACTCAAATCTTTAATATCTCATGAAAAATAGTACTATTAACACTTGAAGTCCTATGTATGTAAATATATTAAAGCTTCGGTGCGAGATATGTAAATACACACAACTTATGTGCTCGTTATGTAAATTTCCCTAAATTATAATCAAAATTACTCATTTTTCTTGGATTCATTGAAGTGCCATTTCGTGTGGTTTCGAACTGACTTTAGCTCTGATAATATTGATGCTATTATTGAGAAGATCATTTACAAGGAAAAACTGGCAAATTGCATTTTTACCCACCTTTTATTCTATTCACTTTTTCTGATGTTTTATGATTCAATTTTTCACCAAACCAGGTTCAAGAGCTCTGGCAAACTAAGAATCAGAATATGGCTGATTTGTGCAAAGAGGTGAAAAAACTTAGGGATATGTTTCAGTCATTCAGCATCACGCATGTCAGAAGGGTAATGCAAACTTCTTATTTCTTATCTGTTATATTATATGCAAATTTTAATTCAAACACCAAGACTGAAAAATACCCTATACCCATGCATTTACATATCTAAAACCAAACTTTAATTTTTATATTTATAACATATAACAAATGCCACCTTTTTTATTTTTTAAAAATTGAAATACACCTTTTCATGCACAAGTAAGGTGGGTATGTATGTAGAAATTTAAGTTTAAAGGTGAAATATGTAAAGTTTAAATCAATTAAGTGGTATGTATGTAATCTTCTTTTTTGTTGATGCAGCAAGAATGGTTTATTTGAAGCTGCTTTTTCATTACCTTTTTTCTTTCAGACTGGCGTCACATTCATCTGCCTGCTGCTTTGGGATGATATTCTTGGAACAAGATCTGTTAAAATATGATATTTTTATTTTATACAATAATTTTCCAAAGGCCTTTTTTGCAAAAAAACAACTTTATAACCACCTTTACAGAAACAAACAACAACAACAACAACAAAGCCTTAATCCCACTACGTGGGGTCGGCTACATGAATCCTTTTTCTCCATTGCGTCCTATTTTGTGTCATATTTTCATCTAGTTCTAGTAAGTTAAGATCATTTTTAATACAATAAGCCCAAGTCTTCCTAGGTTTACCTCTGCCTTTCTTAACACAAGTCGAATCTAAAACATCTACTCTCCTAATCGGATCATCAGATGGTCGACGTTTAACGTGACTAAACCATCTAAGACGACTTTCTCTAATTTTTTCCGTCACAGGAGCTACACCAACCCTATCACGAATATATTCATTTCACATTTTGTCTCCAAGTGTAAAGCCACTCATCCTCCTAATCATTCTCATCTCGGCAACACTTAACTTATTATTATGCTTCGCTTTTAAAGGCCAACAACCACCTTTACAGAAAGCTGCAGGGAATTTTACTGATGCAAATGTATTTGGTTCTGAACTTATTTCATTAGTTCCCACTCATCTCTCAACTGATTTCTTTGCAGGAGTTCAATGCCATTGCTGATAATCTGGCAAATTTAGCTGTTAGTCTTCCAGGTGTGCAACATAAATCTGCTCCATCTCTTTATTTTCTTTTCAAATTTTTTTTTCTAATAATATTATTATTATGTTTTATTTCATTCAGTGGGAGAAATTTGTGAAGATTTTGGACCAGTGAGTTGAGTGGTGATTTGAAGGCACTTTCTCCCATAATGTTTTTAATTTTCCATCCCTTTTTTTACATACATACCACCCATTTTTTATATATTTATATATCTAGCACTGAAAGTTTCATATTTGCATACATAACATTCAAACCCTTGAGATCATTTTTGAAATTATCACAGAGGGAAATATTTAGGTTTTTAATCATTGAGTTATAAATGTAAATATTGAACTTTAGGTGTTACATTTGCAAATGTATAAGAATTGTGTGGTTTGTAGGTAAATTTCTTAGAAAAAAACACTTCCATTTTCCCTTTTTTGATTCATTTACAGAATTCTTCCTCTGCCAGTTACTGACTGTAGCAAATTCCAGAGAAATTTTTTTGTCCATTTAGAGAAGAGCTAACCATGCCACATATTGCTAAAGGCTAATATTCTGTCCGGACACCGCTCGTCCGAACGGCTCAATACCAGGTATCACATCGCCATACACCTTATTAGCAGGTGATGTGGCGTCTGGTTGGCCGTGCGGATGTATTTATATATAAAACCAAATTTATAAGCCTATGTAATCATAACACCATTTGTCCCTAAGCTCATAAAATGAAAGTAATGAATTCATGCAATTTTGGAAAAGGGCAGGCTGCTATTTGTGATGAACGACTTGGCTATGATGAAGCCCCTCTTAGGCTGGTCTGCCATGACCAGAAGTCCGGAGCCACGGACCGTCGCAAATGTCAGTCCTCCAACGTAGGACTCGGTGAATCCGGCGACCTGCCAAATCAAATCAAAATTTGAATCTTGATGCATTTTAGTATAATAATAATAATTAATTTAGTTTTGGAATTTTGGATTATTGAAAGATATATGTATGAAATATGAAAATGCAGCAACCTGAACATTATTATCAAACCATGGCCTCCACTCTGATGAGATGGTCAAATTCATGCACTTGATGACAGTCAAATTAGGGATAATTACTTCCTCATCCTGCACTCCACTGCATTAATCAAATATTATCTAAATTAATTTTCTGTTATAGTGATGATTTGTCTAATATCTGCATAAAAAATTTATATATATGTCCAGCATTCCTAGATCAGTTGGTAGAGCATCGATTTTTTCTGTTATAAGTCTCGTCCGATATAGGGTTCGAATCTCCCCTTTACCTATGGAGTTGGTACTCGAGTGGTTAGGCCCATTAGGGGTGGCGGGGGCTCGTCTAATAGCCTTCAATCATTCCTTTTAATATATATATTAAAGGAATGACTAGAGGATATTAAACGAGTCTTCAGCCACTCTTAATGTGTTTAACAATTGGAGTATCACTCTTCTAAAGGCTCACGTCCTGAGGGTAGGATTCGAACCCCCGACCTGAGGGATTTTATACCAAGGATACCAACCCTCGAGTGGTTAGGCCCATTAGGGGTGGCGGGGGCTTGTCTAATAGCCTTCAATCATTCCTTTTAATATATACATATATTAAAGGAATGACTATAGGATATTAAACGAGTTTCCAGCCACTTTTAATGTATCTAACAATTCCAGTACCACTCTTCTAAAGGCTCACGTCGTTAGAGTTGGATTCGAACCCCCGACCTGAGGTTGATACCAACAAACAGATCGAGGTTCGCGACACACAAACAAACACACACACACATATATAATATGACAAACCTGTAAATTAAAATTCTGACTCCTCCAGTCATTGCTGCCTTCATATAGGGTATTGAAGAAGTTATATTTTTCAGCACTGTAAGATACCTGTTCTCATAATAAATGAAATAGTTCACAAAAAATTAGCATATGATATCCTTATTTACTATTTATATTAAATCTCATTAATTTCATAAGTCCACACAATATTCCTTAATGTAAATAAATTTACTAGGCTTTCATGAATATAATTCCAATACAATAATCATAAAAATTCCTCTAAGCAATCTTGGCTAAAAACCTAAACTTTGGATTAAATTTTTTTTAATCCATACATGGAACAGCTCCACCTGACTCGAAATCGGCTCATATATATATATATATATATATATATATTCA